GCATGGTGGTGGTAGTGTCATGGTGTGGGCATGTATGGCTTCCAATGGAACTGGTTCTCTTGTATTTATTGATGATGTGACTGCTGACAAAAGCAGCAGGATGAATTCTGAAGTGTTTCGGGCAATATTATCTGCTCATATTCAGCCAAATGCTTCACAACTCATTGGACGCCGCTTCACAGTGCAGATGGACAATGACCCAAAGCATACTGCAAAAGCAACCAAAGAGTTTTTTAAGGGAAAGAAGTGGAATGTTATGCATTGGCCAAGTCAATCACCTGACCTGAATCCGATTGAGCATGCATTTCACTTGCTGAAGACAAAACTGACGGGAAAATGACCCAAGAACAAGCAGGAACTGAAGACAGTTGCAGTAGAGGCCTGGCAGAGCATCACCAGGGATTAAACCCAGCGTCTGGTGATGTCTATGCGTTCCAGACTTCAGGCTGTAATTGACTGCAAAGGATTTGCAACCAAGTATTAAAAAGTGAAAGTTTGATTTATGATTATTATTCTGTCCCATAACTTTTGGTCCCTTAACAAGTGGGAGGCACATATGCAAACTGCTGTAATTCCTACACCGTTTACCTGATTTGTATGTAAATACCCTCAAATTAAAGCTGACAGTCTGCAGTAAAAGCACATCTTGTTCGTTTCATTTCAAATCCATTGTGGTGGTTTATAGAGCCAAAAATGTTAGAATTGTGTCGATGTCCCAATATTTATGGACCTGACTGTGTGTGTGTGTGTGTGTGTATGTGTGTGTGTGTATATATATATATATATATATATATATATACACTGTAGGAGGTGTATTCTCACGTTATTGAGCAGGCCAGCATAGGACTGAGCTAGATGTGTTTTTCCGCAACAAAAGCATAGCCAAGGCTATGTTAATTTTATGCAATATCACCTTGGCACTTGGGGGCCAACTTGTTACATTTTAAAGGAGGTAATTTGCAAACTTGCAAGGGTGATAAAATGCAGATTGTTCAGTCAGACTTGAAAGGACTACTATCTACTATCTAATAAAGTGAAAAGGAGTATTAAGTATGGTAAAATAGCATTCTTGTTTATCTAATTAATGGTGAAAGAATGCAGTGTAGCAAATATCTAGACAACCTTTATTAGAATTTATGACTGCATCTGTCCAAGTCCAAAAGGCATTACCTGTCACCCAGAAGATCAAAGGGGCTACTAAAAGTGGCTAATCAGAGTGCTTGTTATTCTACTGAATTGGGAGAATGTGTATATTAGGGAAGCTCCTTTTGGTTAAGTGATATAAAAAGTGATGAGGTTTTGCCAGGTTATGAAGCCAGGAGTACCTGCGAACGCATGAGTGTCAGTGACTAAAGTGAGAGATGGTTAGGATGGTATCTGTCCTAGTATTTAAGGTCATGGCATCAAATAATAAGTGGAGTCGCAGGTAAAACTACGAGGGAATTTTAGTGGGAAGGTCAGGGGAGGGTGGCGGGGTCCACACAGACAGACACTGCTGTGCAGAGAAATACACATCAGCATGTCCTTGTTTGCAGGAGAGATACCTGTGTTGTTTACACACAGGTCTCTTCCCTGTCAGCTTTCAATGATGATTACCGGGTGCCAGCAGGGAATCTCTGGCTGGGACTTGGTGATTGACATCCATAGCCGCCGCGGGCAAGCGGTTAAAGTATAACTAAAAGCAACACTTTTTTTTTTTTTTTTTGATTACAGTTGAGAGTGATTTGAACACCTATTTGTATTGCCTTCAGTGTCCCCGTTATGGAGATTTGCTCTCTATGTCCTGTTTACCATTCTTACCAAGAAGAAAAAAGTGAAAGAAAATCCCACATTTTGAGTTGTTACCAGAACAGGAATAGAGAGGAAAATCTTTGAATGAGGACACGATTTCTGGACACCCTGGAGAACAGCCAGGGATTCCTTCACTTTGGGGACTTTAATGTATTTCCTCTCATTTTCTGTTTTGGTTATGGGACATAAAGTGAGGCAGAAAAAAAAAAAAAAAAATAAACTGACAGGGCTTATAAATTCTATCCAAAATGAAGAAAATAAATTTGCTTTTTGTTCTACTTTTGAACGAAAAGCAGACCTTTCATTGCGCTAATATATTTACATCTCTAAAAGCAAGATTGTGTTTATCCTTCAGGGTCCTTTCACACCATAACACACATAAAACCCCACCCCAACACATTGAAAATGCATGTGTATTTTACATGCATTTTCATGTGTGTCATGTTGCGTTTTCATGTCATTACTATATATCCTTCATGTGATGTTTATATCTTTACTTTCAGTTGCATTGTATTTACTTGCATTCTTTTCCATTGTACTACAATGCAGACAGGTTGCATTTTAATATTATGATCCTGTTTAATGTGAGAAGTCATAAAATGTAAACTGTAAGTATAGTCTCCGTGTGCATACAAAAGGAAAGGGTCACAGTCTGCTGGATTGTAGCATTGTTTCCTACTGTATATCTGTGTAAATGTATGCATGGATTCATTTAATTTTAAACTAAACTTCAAAGGCAACAGTTAAGTCATGCAACGAACAGACTCTTGAGACATAATACGTATGTTTTGACAAAAATGTTGAACATTAGCATGTGGTTGTCAGGTCCTTCTAAAAGGAGTAATCTGAAATCATTCTATCATCCAGGAACCATGAGTTTATTAACATGTTCCCAAGCATATGCTATAATTCTCTTCAGAAATAACTAAGGCTGATGACTATGCTTCAGGCACCTGCTATTTGTTGTTCCAGTCCATATGTGTGCTAAAAGATCTGTGGATTTGCTTATGGGTTTTTTTTTTTACCATTTTTAGTTATAACTCTTGATTTGGTTTTGCTTTGCTGAATAATTACTCTGAGGGCTAAGTCACACCAAAAAAAATGTGCTTTTGCAATTCTTGTTATATTTTTAGGTTTTGTGTGCGTCCAGCCACGATCACCGCAGGTAACTTCTGGCTGTGCGGACAGTCACGAATAGTCGCAGCCGCCAGCAATCTGTCATTACAGTGTATGAGCTTGGCAGCTGCAGCTATCCCCGCGCAGTTGTCAGTCGCAGCCAGAGGAATCCGTAGGTCCTTGCCACTGGAATTCACAGCATAGCTAAGCGCCCATGCGAATGGAACCTACCATGTCTGCTTGTCTTTCTTGCTTGTAATAAAGCTAACCCAGTGCCAGTTATTTATTTTTCATGTTGTATGCATGTTCGCTATGTAATGTAAGTCCTCATGCACACTGGACATTTTTACAGCTGCTGTTCTTGGCTTTTGATGTTTCTTTCTACCGCCAGTAACCCCCCCCCCCCCCCCCCCCCAGCATGATATCCTATGTGTCCATGCACACATAGACTGCAATCAACGTTTTTTTGGCTGAAAAAAACCCCCAGAGCTAGTGGGTTTCTAGAGGAGTTTTTTTAGCTGTAAAAATGCTCTAATGCAGTAAAACATCACAAACCAGCTTTTTTGGACTTTTTTTTGACCCCCAAAAATTTTTTTTGTAAAAAAAAAAAAAAAACAGCTAAAAAACGCAAACGTGGAAAAAACGCCACTAAACACGGCAAAACGCTAATGCGAAAAAACGCTGTTCATGTTTTTCACGTGACTTACAAAGCTAATGTTACCAGCATTATTAAAATGCCCAGTGTGCATGGAGCCTAAGAGTGTTACACTGCAAGTATGAATTACCTTGAAGAGAGGTCATAGCCCTCCTCTTGACGGTTCCCCATATTTTCTTCCAAAGAGGGACAGTGTCTTCTTGGTTCAAGTAGCATAAAGAGTTAGCATCTACCCATCCTCTGGAACTCTCTACCCCAATCTGTCTGACTATCACCTACTCTGTTCACTTTTAGGCAATCCCTGAAAAGCTATCTCTTCAAGGTAGCCTATCCTGCCTTCAGCTAATAACTGAATCTTCTATTTCTCCCACCAGTCCATCCCCCACAGTTATTACCTTTTTGTTCCACTTGCCCCTCCCTATTTGATTGTAAGCTCCCATGAGCAGGGCCCTCCTAACCCACTTGTATTGAACTGCATTGTTGCTGTATTGTCTCCCTTTATATTGTAAAGCGCTGAGCAAACTGTTGGTGCTATATAAATCCTGTATAATAATAATCTACTTCTTGGACTGAAATCATTCCATTAGAGGATGGAAACGTGTATCCTGGTCCCTGGTAGCCTTAATGTTCTTTGTTGTGAGTACACATCTTGGACATCTTTTTTATCAGCGGACCGATCAGGTCCTCCTGTCCGTTTTCTGTCCGACCCGATTAGACCATCCATTGTCCTCTATGGAGCAGCAGATGTAAACGGATGCTCCCACTTCTCACCTTGTGACTTGCTACAAAGTTACTGGTAGCAAAAGTGTCCCCATTTGGGCACAGAACGGTCCTTCATTATGAATGAGTTTTTACTGTATTGCGTAGTGTGTCTATACTATACAGTAAAAAAAATTTGCAGTTCATCATAGTGTATAAAGTGGAGCAATGTGAAGTACTGTATATAAACTACAAAGTACTGAAAGAAGTAGTTTGCAGTATATCTGTACAGCATAATCATGTACAGTGTGGAATATATAGTTTACAGCTAAATCTACAAATTGATGCGATTTGCAGTATATTGAAAGTATAGTGTACATGCTTTAGTGATGTGTAATATTTAACATTTAATTTACATCACAGTGTACAGAGTAGAGCAGCTCGTAGTGTACATAATATGTGGCGTAAGTAATTTATAACATACTGAACAGAGTAAAGTGGTATGTAGACTATAATGTAAAAAGCAATAACAGTGTAAAAAAAAAAAAAAAAAAAAATATCCTGATCACCTCCCCAAAGTAGTAGTGTCACTTTGATGACTCTGCCCTCTTCAGATGACAGTATGTGGGAAAACATAAATAAGTAAACGATCGGCGGTGCGCTGTGCCCCTCGGACACAGCGGATCACCGATCTACAGAAAGAGCCGAAGATGTCGTCTCGGTCATGTGATTAGCTGTGTCCAATCACAGCTGATCACATGTAAACACGGAAATGCCGGTTAGTGTCCATTAGTGCCTGCTCTGTTGTCATCCATGCCACCTGCCAGTGCCACATTTCAGTGCCCATCTGAGCTGCCTTTCAATGTCACCCATCAGTGCCGCCTAACAGTGCCAGTCAGTGCCATCTAACAGTGCCAGTCAGTGCCACCTATCAGTGCCAGTTAGTGCTGCCTATCAGTGCCATATATGAGTGCTGCCTTTCAGTGCCCATCAGTGATGCCTGTCAATGCCCATCAGTGCCACCTACCAGTGCCTCCTCAACAGTGCCCATCAGTGCCCATCAGTGCAGCCTCATTAGCGCACATCAGTGAAGAAGAAAAATCACTTATTTACTAAATGTTTTATAACAAAAACTAAGAAAAAACTTTTTTTTTTTTCAAAACTTTCAGTGGTTTTTGGTTTGTTTAAGAAAAAATAAAAGCCCAGAGGTGATTAAATACCACAAAAAAAAAAACGCTCTATCTGTCACAAAAAAATGATACAAATTTCATATGGGTACAGTGACCGCGCAATTGTCATTCAAAGTGCAACAGCGCTGAAAGCTGGAAATTGGCCTGGGCAGGAAGGGAGTATAAGTGCCCTGTAGGCAAGTGGTTAAATTGAGTTTGTGTAAAAAAAAAAATATTTAATTTCACATTTTTCAAAAACTTGTGGCAAAAAATGAAGACTTTAAAAGACTCACCATGTCTATTAGAAAATACCTTGGGGCATTATTTTTTTCCATATGTCAGGAATGCTCTTATCTCTGGTAGTGCTGGGGCTTACCTGCCTTGTGGGCTGCAGTACCAGTGCTGGCCAGCGGGTGCTCTCAGCAGCCAGTGTCTCACTCCTGCAATCAGGTCTTCACCTGAGGCTGATTGCAGGAGGTGTATTAAAGCAGGACCAGGCCTGCAGTCAATACCTTGGTGTATTGTTTCCCATGAGCCCCTGTACCTTGTATCCTGTGTTCCTGTTCATCTGCCTATCTGATTTGTTGCCGATCCTGCCTGATCCTGACCTCTGCTGACTTCTCCTGCTCTGATCCCTGGCTCGTTTGACTACTCTCCTGGACATCCCTAATCTTATCTGAACTCCTGTTACCGACCCCGGCGAGTGACCCGACTACTCTTCTGGCTGCTGCCTAGTACCACGGTGACTCCACTGTTACCGACCCAGCAGTTTGACCATGCTCAGTACTCTGCCATCCATCTGTCCATCCATCCATCTTGCATGGATCCAGCCATCCCTGCTCACACCTTCTGCCTCTTCACGTCAGGCTTTCTACCTGCATATACCTCTGGTGGATTCCTCTACCACAGGCAGGTGTACTCAGGGGCCGCGACCTGGTTCCTGTCTGCTCCAAGTCCATCCCCACCATCAGGGGCCCTGGTGAACAAGCAGACTGGGACTTAGACTCCACGCTCTGGGGAATCCTATCCTGTGGACTGCTAGAGGTACCACCAGGCGGTTGTTAACAGAACCATAAGGCCAGTCCTGACCATTCCACCTCTCCAGCCCTGACTACACCTGTGTTCCCACACATTTCTGGTCATACCCGGATCCCTGACATAACACCAAGGCCAATCCTGACCAGAAGTGGCTGCACAGGGAAGCCATCTTGGCTTGTTGTGAAGGATGCATCCTGAGGAGGTTGTGTACTTGTATCTGCTAGTCTTAGATGACAGAGAATATGCCTATCAGACTTTGAAGGAGTATGCCAGGGATCAGCTGCTAGAGTGCATACGGGTCGCTCATTCCCTAGTAGATCAGGGCATGGAGTTCTCTGAGGTGCAACTATTGATCCAGGCTTGTGCTGAGTTGGCTTCATCTAGTACCCCTGAAAGCAGGAATGACTTTTTTCCACCATTCAGTACGAATCAAGTAGAATCACTGGTATGGTTGTTGGAGGATGATCCGGATTGCTTCTTCGAGCAATATTCAGCATGTTCACAACATGTGCCAGTGGATTGTATAAACGCAGTGCAGTCTTTGGTCAGACAGGCTATGTGTAAGCTGAGCTTTGTTCAAAAAAGTTCTACAGACATGGTCAGATTTGTTACACCCAGCCTCAGTCAGCTTGCAACAATCCAGTCCTGCTTCTAATCATTCCTCTCAAAGCTCTCTCTTCCTCCATTTCCCACAGCACCCCCAGCTACAGCCCAGTATACCCTGCTATCTACCACATGTCAGTCTCCTGTTCCCACTCGCTGTCCCTATCCTGCCTTTAACCCTGTAAAGAAGTCCTCTGTAGAAGCTGCTCCCTCCGTTTACAGCCCTGCATTTACTTGCAGTGCTCCAGTAACTAAACCCAAGAAGAAGCAAAAATTCTTTCCAACCAGTACCATCCTGCCAGTATCCAAACCGGTCAGCCTACTGTCTGAGAACCCGCCTTCCGTTGTCCAGCCTGGTGCCCCGGTGCCCGCTGTTCAGCCTGATGCCCTGATGCCTGATGACCCAGTGTACGCTACCCAGCCTGATGATCCTACCCAGCCTGATGATCCTACCCAGCCTGATGATCCTACCCAGCCTGATGATCCTACCCAGCCTGATGATCTGGTGCCCGCTACCCAGCTTAACGCCCCGATCCAGCCTGATGACCCGATCCAGCCTGATGACCCGATCCAGCCAGATGACCCGATCCAGCCTGATGATCCTACCCAGCCTGATGATCTGGTGCCCGCTACCCAGCTTAATGAACCGACCCAGCCTGATGACCCGACCCAGCCTGATGACCCGACCCAGCCTGATGACCCGACCCAGCCTGATGACCCGACCCAGCCTGATGACCCGACCCAGCCTGATGACCCGACCCAGCCAGATGACCCGACCCAGCCTGTTGACCCGACCCAGCCTCATGACCCGATCCAGCCTGATGTCCCGGTGCCCGTGGTTTAGCCTGGCGCCCCGGTGCCCGTGGTTCAGCCTGGCGCCCCGGTGCCCGTGGTTCAGCCTGGCTCCCCGGTGCCCGTGGTTCAGCCTGGCGCCCCGGTGCCCGTGGTTCAGCCTGGCAGCCTTGCCCCCGGTGCCCGTGGTTCAGCCTGCGCCCCGTTGCCCGTGGTTCAGCCTTGCGCCCCGTTGCCCGTGGTTCAGCCTGGCGCCCCGTTGCCCGTGGTTCAGCCTGGCGCCCCGTTGCCCGTGGTTCAGCCTGGCGCCCCGCCCGTGGTTCAGCCTGGCGCCCCGTTGCCCGTTTCAGCCTGGCGCCCCGTTGCCCGTGGTTCAGCCTGGCGCCCCGTTGCCCGTGGTTCAACCTGGCGCCCCGTTTCCCGTGGTTCAACCTGGCGCCCCGTTTCCCGTGGTTCAACCTGGCGCCCCGGTGCCCTCTGTCGAGCCTGGTGACCCGGTGCCCGCTGTTGAGCCTGGTGACTTGGTGCTCGCTGTTGTGCCAGATGACTCGGTGCCCGCTGTCGAGCCTAGTGACCCGGTGCCCGCTGTCGTGCCAGGTGACTCGGTGCCCGCTGTCGTGTCAGGTGACTCGGCGCCCGCTGTCGTGCCAGGTGACTCGGCGCCCGCTGTCGTGCCAGGTGACTCGGTGCCCGCTGTCATGCCAGGTGGCTCGGTGCCCGCTGTCCTGCCAGGTGACTCGGTGCCCGCTGTCGTGCCAGGTGACTCGGTGTCCGCTGTCGTGCCAGATGCCCCGGTGCCCGCTGTCGTGCCAGATGCCCCGTGCCCGCTGTCGTGCCAGATGCCCCGGTTCCCGCTGTCGTGCCAGGTGCCCCGGTGCCCGCTGTCATGCCAGGTGCCCCGGTGCCCGCTGTCATGCCAGATGCCCCGGTGCCCGCTGTCATGCCAGATGCCCCGGTGCCCGCTGTCATGCCAGATGCCCCGGTGCCCGCTGTCATGCCAGATGCCCCGGTGCCCGCTGTCATGCCAGATGCCCGGTGCCCGCTGTCATGCCAGATGCCCCGGTGCCCGCTGCCATGCCAGATGCCCCGGTGCCCGCTGCCTCGCCTGATGGCCCGGTGCCCGCTGCCCTGCCTGATGGCCCGGTGCCCGCTGCTCCGCCTGATGTGCCTCTGCTCGCTGCCCAACCCGATGTGCCTCTGCCTGCTGCCCAGCCCGATGTGCCTGCTGCCCAGCCCGATGTGCCTCTGCCTGCTGCCCAGCCCGATGTGCCTCTGCCTGCTGCCCAGCCCATGTGCCTCTGCCTGTGTGCCTCTGCCTGCTTCCCAACCCCATGTGCCTCTGCCTGCTGCCCAGCCAGATGTGCCTCTGCTCGCTTCCCAACCCGATGTGCCTCTGCCTGCTGCTTTGCCTGATGTGCCTCTGCCTGCTGCCCAGCCAGATGTGACTCTGCTCGCTGCCCAACCCGATGTGCCTCTGCCTGCTGCCCAGCCCGACGTGCCTTTGTCCGCTGCCCAGCCTGCTTCTGGAGATCCTGTGTCCAGCAACCTGCCTTCCTGTGGTCTCCTGCAAAAAGATAGGCCTATCAGCAGGACACCCAGCCAATCGCTTGATTCCGGCAGTGGGATGTCCAGCCATTTACCGGACCCAGGCGGTGGAACATTTGGGCCATTACGGACTGTTTGGAGCGTCTTGAGGCCGCTCCTTGAGGGGGGCTACTGTCAGGAATGCTCTTATCTCTGGTAGTGCTGGGGCTTACCTGCCTTGTGGGCTGCAGTACCAGTGCTGGCCAGCAGGTGCTATCAGCAGCCAGTGTCTCACTCCTGCAATCAGGCCATCACCTAAGGCTTATTGCAGGAGGTGTATTAAAGCAGGACCAGGCCTGCAGTCAGTGCCTTGGTGTATTGTTTCCCATGAGCCCCTGTACCTTGTATCCTGTGTTCCTGTGGACTGCTAGAGGTACCACCAGGTGGTTGTTAACAGAACCATAAGGCCAGTCCTGACCATTCCACCTCTCCAGCCCTGACTACGCCTGTGTTCCCACACATTTCTGGTCATACCTGGATCCCTGACACCATAATATGGTCATTTTGTGGATGTTTTCACTATCCTGGTACTCCAAAAATGTGACAGGTAGTCAGAAATGAAATGCATAATACAGTGGAGCAAAAAGTATTTAGTCAGCCAACAATTGTGCAAGTTCTCCCACTTAAAAAGATGAGAGAGGCCTGTAATTGGCATCATAGGTAGACCTCAACTATGAGAGACAAAATGAGAAAAAAAAAATCAGACAATCACATTGGCTGATTTGGAAAGAATTTATTTGCAAATTATGGTGGAAAATAAGTATTTGGTCACCTACAAACAAGCAAGATTTGTGGCTCTCACAGACCTGTACCTTCTTCTTTAAGAGGCTCCTCTGTCCTGCACTCATTACCTGTATCAATGGCACCTGTTTGAACTTGTTATCAGTAGAAAAGACACCTGTCCACAACCTCAAACAGTCACACTCCAAACTCCACTATGG